TTGACGACTTATTTGATGATTATTCCATGGTCTGTCTGAATACTGGATTCTGATTGACTGGCAGGTATGCAGTAAAACCTTTTAATGCACAGGTAGTTCCAAGTCAGTTTAATCGCCGTTCCATATTAATGCGCTGCTTTAATTGATGCACACTAACCTACACGCATCATTCGCGCGCGCACACACACACACACACAGAGAGAGAGAGAGAGGTCAGAGATCGCTGATTGCGCTGCACACACACACAAACTTGTCAACACTTCCCTGAGATTTTCATTAATAAAATAGCCTAGATACTAGATCGCTACATTATATTCCTCAACAGCGAGGTGGTAAAATCGCTGTTTTTGAAGTAATTGTTTGTACAGAGTGTAACGAATCAGCTCATGGGAAATATGAATAATGAACCATAAAGTCAATTTCTGCTCTGCCTCTCCTATGGGGACAAAGAGTGGGTTATCCTACTCACATTCCTGGGGGGGTCATAAAACCAGTGATATCATGATTAGTTGTCATGGTGACCAAGGGGGGATGGTGTTCAGCAGAAATCCTGGCATCCAGTTTATTGAGTGAGGGGACTGTGACGATTTGTTAATCTAATGAATAATTGATTTGTTAAATCAAATAAAAATTGTGTCAGATTGGTCGAGACGCTACAAGAGAGATGCGCAGACGCAGCACGCGGGTACACACAACTGTCATCTCTCTCTCTCTCTCTCTCAAACGATCGATCGATAATTAATTGAAATACATGCTATAATTCATTCAAAGAAATGTGATCTTACCACAGTATTTCATCTCTGTGTCTGATTTGAAGCAGGCAGAATGCTAGCGCTAATGTGCCGTAACTGACGAAAATAACTTATTTTTACCCATTCGGTCAAATATTGTGCTGCAAGGAGCAATACTAGTTTTAACTTGTCTATAACTTGGAAAATGACCATGGAATAAGCGGTATAATCAACGGCTAGCCGTGCATTAAAGTATTTTAAATGCACTTCGTGGAGGCAACCGGTTCTTTGCCTCCACGTCGTGCATTTAAAATCCTTTAATGCACAGCTAGCCATTGATTATCCCTTACGTAGAGAATATACGCAAACATTTTTTAAAATTAAATTTTAAAATAGTAAACAACAATTTAAGCATAAATTACACAAAATTCAACTTGTTTTTCTGTGAATAGAATAATATCAGTTTTTATTTAAATACTCTCAGCGCAGTACTATTTCAGTCTAGTTAGCACCTGGTTAAGCAGGATTGCATGTGTTTATTAAATAAAGCGTGCTTTTCTGGTGAAAATCTGTGTGAAAAGTGGCACTGTTTAGTAAAGTAGCCCTTTTTATCTGTTGATGTGAAACAGAGCTCAACCCGATCTGGAGCTGTAAAGTGGTTGCCTGTTGTTTCCAGATTTTTTAGGTTTTTTGAGGATGTTGTTTTTTCAGAGGAGGGGCCTTCCAGGCATCCAGTTCACTGACATGCCGTGCCAACCTTTTCAGGTTTCTCCCGCACTCGACTTTCCACAGGAAATGTTTTGAGGAAGTGAGAGTTGCTGATGTGACAGTTTTGAATGGTATTGTCAGATTACAGCATGGTGCTTCAATGTTGCACAACAAAGAAACATGAGAAAGACTCTCAGGCCGTGACCTCAGAGGCCCTGACTGTTTCTGGTTGCGGCACTGCAGGCGAACAAAAACACGCAGGTGTGTTTGCATAGCAGTTGGAAGAAGACCCGGATGAGTGTTGTCAATAGTATCATTGGTAACTTCCCCAGGTGTCTGACCTAAAAAGTGTTTCTATTGTTTCTCGGGCTTATCATCTGCTCTGCACTCAATCCTTAAACCACAATAATGACCCAATGGCTCCAAGTTTTCAAGTGATTCACAGTGGATGAGTGAGTTATGGCGATTGGGAAATGGAGCAATATGCAGAAACGGCTATAGTCCAAAATTCCCAGTGGTGGGTGAAATGAGAAATGAATATTTATTTCTGTTTATGAAACTGTATTAAATATTTAATAAAAAATATTATGTAGCACAATAAGGCTGCACAATTAATCAAATTTCTAATCGCGATTACAATTATATATTTGTAATCCACAATTACGTAATCGTTCAAAGTGGCAATTAATCGTTCAAAGTCCACTTATGTTATTCTGCACGCTTAAGATATGTTTTTTTCTTTCTACATGTTATCTTAAGGGTTTTTCCATAGTTTTAGTATAACATTATAATACCATTCATATTTTTGAATATTTTTTTTATTTCATTTTTTTTATATAATTTAAAGAAGAAACCAATCCGATGTATATTTGACATTTGAGGCTTAATACTATAGAAAAGCACTAAAGGTTTTTCAGTTAGAGTGTTTTAAGCTTGTTTATTTTCATATAAAAATACGCCATGCAGTTGCATCAAACAATGGTATAAACATCATTCAATGTAAATTGTGATAATCGTAATTAATAATCGCAATTACAATGGGAATAATCGACAATTATGATTTGTGTCATAATCGTGCAGCCCTATAGCACAACTGTTTACAGCATTGATTATAATGATAACTGTTTCTTGAGCAGCAAATCAGAATATTAGAATGATTTCTGAAGGATCATGGGATACAAGACTGGCGTAATGATGCGAAAAATGCAGTAAATTACTTTTTAAAATACATGCACAGTATTACAGATTTTATTACTTGATCTAATAAATGTAGCACTGGTGAGTGTAAAGAGTCTTTTTTTAAAAACATTAAAATATGTTCATTCTTAAATGTTAATAATGCTAATTTATCTAAATAAATGACAAGTTCATAAGTAATATATAATTGAGTGCATATGGATTTTTCTATAGTAATATGTGTAACTTTTTTTTAACAACCAACAAATGTGAAATATTTTACCAAAACAAAAATATGATGAGCAAAATAAAATTGTTTCTTCAGATTTTTGTCACTTATATTACAAATATATTACAACATTTAATTTTTTTTTTTAATTAATGACATTGTTATAAGGAATTTATGTATGGTTATTGTGAATAACAATATTATGCATCCTAGATATATCCATATGCAGTTTTCCGCATATGTTGTTTTTAGTAAAAATTTGTTTTTGTTTGTTTTTAATTTTAATCAAGTAATTTTAAGAGAAATTAGGGTGATCATTGTTACAATTAATTTTTAAAGCATCATCTAATAAAAGTTCTAATAAAGTGACTAACTAATTGTCCAATTAATTATTAATTAAAACGGCTCCTTTTTAGTTTTTTCGTATTTCCCAAAAAACGGAAAAAACAAGAATTCAGCTTACATTTTCGTTTTTCGTTAATGGGTGGAAAAATGAAAAAAAAAAAAACAGCTTGAATATTCGATTTCTACACGTGGGCGGGAATTAAACGCCCCTTTCTGCTGATTGGTCAGCCGAAGATCAAACCATGCCGTCATCAGTTCTTCCACAGTATCACGCAGCAGAATAATAGTCCTCCACTGCTGCAGTTGTACGGATTAATAACCCATTTTATTGCAACTACATTTCATATTTTTCTCATCAAACAGACTAATGAATAGCTCCACACAACTCGTACCGGGGCAGAGTCTAGACAGCAGTTCTTAAAGTGATAGGGGGTCTGTGAAATAATTTGCTATAGCCTAAAGTATTTCCAAACTGTAAAGTCACTTTTTTTTTTATCATGATACATAGGCCTACTGTGATTTATTCCAAAGTGACTTATATGATGCATTTAACGTCAAATAATCTAAATGAAGCCTTTTAAAAGACAAGTATTCGTTGTGGTTTGTTTGTGGCATGTGCCGGAAAGATGCTCAAGGAGACCGAGACGCGCTAAAGCAGCGCATTCTGTTGTTCTCTTTATTTTTCAAAGGCATGACATTTTGTAGTCCGTTTGAACGTAACGTTACACAATTAAAAATATACATTTTACCATACAACTATAAATGACAGAGTATTAAGTTATTTCCCCTCGATGGGGAAAAAAATCCAAGTGAACATCAATCAGTACTTAATATTAATTTAAACTGCTTTAAATATGACTGCTGCTTATTTCCTGTGCACTTCAACACTGGTCTGCCCTTGACTGTAGTCTGTCTGCTTATTGAGTTTATTTAGGCTAACCCATCGCAATTTATTGGAACTGTGTGAACTAGAGTCACTACTCACCTTAATGTTGTTCTCACAGCTCACGCTACGCACAAGTGCATATCCGTTTGAGATATCAATTTTAATAAAACACAAGATTACATTATATAACTCTAACAGTAGGCTATTTAATATCTGTGGTTCTCCTGTTGTCAGTCAGAATGACAGTTCTTGCGTGAACATAGGCCTATATATACCCAAGCCAATTTATTATTCTTTCCTTTTTGTCTTAGTGTTTAAAATATTTATTTTGAAACAAATGAATTAATTAATTTCTTAATTAAACAAACAAACAGACTTATTGGGTGAGAAGGGTAGGCTATGACAGCTGTCATATCATACCCTGCCATGCCCAGCTGATGCAAAGAATATAATTTATATCTGCACAGAAGAAAGCCCTGTCTAGACTCTGCCCCAGAGTTGGGTGCAGCTATTCATTAGCCTGTTTGTTTGATGAAAAAAGATTAAATATAGTTGCAATAAATGCGTTAAGAATCCATACAACTGCAGCAGTGGAGGACTATTATTCTGCTGCGTGATACTGCGGAAGAACTGATGAAGGCACGGTTTGATCTTTGGCTGATCAATCAGCAGAAAGGGCGTTTAACTCCCGCCCACGTGTAGAAATCAAATATTCAAGCTGTTTATTCATTCTTCCACCCATGAACAAAAAACGAAAATTTAAGCAGAATTTTCGTTTTTTGTAAAAAAAAAAACGAAAAAGGAGCCGTTTTCTCATTTTTCTACTTTCAATATTAAATCAAAAAACGAATGATCGAATGATACACGGATTGTACACGGACCGATTTCGAACCCTGACTATTTTTTTGTTTGTTTTGTCCTTCAGTATCTACCGAGGAGGACTCTGGTTTTGTGACAGCGGCGCTGGGAAACACATGGAGTCACTGTGTTAACACGCGCCTCATCGTCCAGTACGAGGACACAGAACGGAGACAGGTAAACACTTTCTTACTCCTTTGTGTGAATTAGCAAAACTTTGTTTAAATATCTGAAAACGTCTCAGGTTACTTATGTAACCATGGTTCCCTAAGTAGGGAATGAGACACTGCGTCCTCTAGGGGTCGCTATGGGGAACGCCTCGTTGTGACCCATGTCTGAAGCATACATTGAAAAAACAACAACTCGTTGGCCGGCGACAGCCATGACGTCACTACCGGTGCGACTATAGTATAAATAGGCACCGGGAGCACACATCATTTACTTCTTCGTCTGAAACTTGCGTCCGCAGCATAGCAAGAAACCTAGAGGACGCAGTGTCTCATAAGTAACCTGAGACGTTCCCTTTCATGGGAACTTCTAACTGCGTCCTCTAGGGGTCGCTATGGGGAATGGTATAGCCACGCCACCATGCTGAGGGGAGTGCTTGCCAGAACCATGGCGAGCACTAAGTACCAACTCAAATCAGAAGGGTAAGCATACTGCAAGCTAGCCAAACACTCCACTTATGGGATTTTAGAAAAGTGGGCAAAGCATAACGTGCACACTTACCACTTATGTGGATTTTAGAAAGTGGGCAAAGCATAACGTGCACACTTACCAGCTATGTGGATTTTAGAAAGTGGGCAAAGCATAACTTGCACACATTTGAAATACCGTTCTAGGGGTTCTCGTGGCACCCTGAAAGAGCAGCCCATAGATAGAAATAGCGCATCCCCAAAAACACTATGTCTACGGCTATAATGCTGGAGTGGCTAGCAGTAAATCTGTAGTTGAGGGAGCAAACATCCAGCTCTCAATCGAGAGGGAGCTCAACCTACAGCATGTTCCAATGGTGGAACAGCTAGCAGTTATTTAGCTGAGGGAACAACACACCCAGTTCTCAAATCAAGAAGGGGGCTCGACCTGCAGCATGTTCCAAAGCTGGAACAGCTAGCAATAATTTACTTAGCTGTGGGAGTAACACACCTAGTTCTCAGACGAAAAGTGGGCTCGACCTACAGCATGTTCCAATGCTGGAATGGCTAGCAGTAGTTTACCTTGGCTGAGGGAGCACAAACCCAGCTCTCAACGAGAGGGGGCTCGACCTGCAGCATGATTGTAAAATCAGAAGGGTAAGCATACTGCAAGTTAGCCAAACACTCAGCGCATCAGGGAGGCAGAGGAAGGGCCTAATTCACCTGATGCTGCTGGTTCCAGGTGCTCTGGAGAAACAGAGAACTCAAACTTCTCATGTGAGAGGAGAACTCCGAATTCAGAGGAATAACGTTGCTCATTC